CAAGACCCTACTATAATATAGTATTTCTAAAAGATTAATAATTCAGATTTAAGCTATTTGTATTGTTCTGACACCACAAGGAAAACTTCATTTCTTTTTTTCTTTTCAATTTTTTTAATGTTTGTTTATTTTTGAGAGAGAGAGAGAGAGAGAGAGAGAGAAAACAGAATGGGGGAGGGACAGAGAGAGGGAGACACAGAATCTGAAGCAGGCTCCTGGCTCTGAGCTGTCAACACAGAGCCCGACACAGGGCTTGAACCCACCTACCACCAGGTCATGACCTGAGCTGAAGTTGGACGCTTAACCAACTGAGCCACCCAGGTGCCCCAGAAAACTTCATTTCAAATTTGTTATTTTATTTTCTACACCTTTATAAGTACTAGAAATTAGAGTTACTTACATGAAAATAAGAGTTTTGTTTTATCTACTTAAGATATGTTTTTAAGATTTACCTTCGGTCATACTATAGAAATAGAACTTGAATTATCAAAGAGCAGAATTATAACTTTAAAAAGAAAAAAATGGTCAACTTAATTTAGCTCCAGAGAACAGTTCACAAAAGATGGGAGTGGAAACTATGCATGAAACATATATTCATGTTTGGAGTCTCATTGTCTCTCTCTCTGTCTCTCTCAATAATAATTTTAAATTCTGACCTGAACAGGTGGTAGCATTACTTTCTTAGCATAGCCTGGACTGTTGAGGAGTGATTTTGTTCTTCTAAATTCCTGGTAGAGGACCTCATGGCTGATTCTAGTGCTGAGGCAGAGAAAAATACGAGATGAGCCTGGAGTACTATCTTGCATTGCCTGAAAGTAAAGTCTAAAAATAAATAAGTAAGTAAAAGTGGAAGCAAATTAAAAGGACACAGGAGCCAACCTGAGAGAGTTCCCAGTGCCAAAACTGGAACACTTTGACCAACCAAATAATTGACAGTAGTAGTTTATTATAACCCAAAGACTAAAATAAATATCCATGAGTTCATAGTAATATACATAAACAAATAAATAAAGGAAGGGAGGGGGACAAGTTCCTTACAAAAAAAGTCCAGATAATAAATGTAGAAGGAATGGAGAAAAAAGAAAATTCCATGAGAACACCACAGGAATAATTGCTGTAGGCAAGATTCACAGATGAATGCTAAAATTAATGAGCAAAACTTGAAGGAGAAACAGGATACTTGTACAGTCTTAAAATACCTCAAGAAACTTACTAATATCTGTGGTGGTTTTAATAAACGTCCACAACTTCTCTGACACTCTTCCTTCCATGAAGTGGAGCTTACTTCCCTTAGCATTGAGTGGGGCTGTTTGTTCACAGTGACTCATAACTAAGCAATAGTGCATGGAGAGGAGAAAACCAGTAGCTCTGCAGTAGTGAACCATGGCAGACACCATCTTAACAAGGTAGTCAGGGTTTATATCGCCAGGAAGAAGTTGTGTCGGTATCACATACCCCCACATATTACACAATGAGAAACACACTTCACCTCTTGGCGTTTGTCCCCAACTCCATAACCTTAGTCTAATCATGAGAAAACGTCAGAAAGTTCCAAATTGAGGAATGTTCTACAAAGTATCTGACTAGTACTTTTCAAAAGTATCAAGGACAGTCTGAGAAACTGTCACAGATCAGAGGAAACTAAGGAGACATGATAACTCCATGCAGTGTGGTTTCCTGGATGGGATTCTGGAGCAGAGGAAGACATTAGTGGAAAAACCGAAGCCTGAAGAGTCTGCAGTGGAGTTAATGGTGTTGTACCAATGTGAATTTCTTTGACTTGATAGATGAACCATGAGATATAAAATATGAACATTTGGGAAAGATGGGTGACAGGAATACTGGAATTCTCTATACCGTCTACACAGCTTTTCTGTAAATCTAAAATTATTCCAAAATTAAACGTTAAAAATAGAACAACCCACTGATGGCTTCTCTAAGGTATTTGTTAAAGTGTCTCCAGAGGTGTCTGGGTGGCTCAGTCAGTTGATCGTCTGACTCTTGATTTCGACTCAGATCATTATCTCACAGTTCATGAGATCGAGCCCCGTGTCGGGCTCTTTGCTGACAGCGTGGGGCCTCCTTGGGATTCTGTTGTATTCTCTCTCTCTCTCTCTCTCTCTCTCTCTCTCTCTCTCTCTGCCCCTCCCCTGCTAATGCACTCTGTCTCTCTCCATCTGTCTCTCTCTGTCTTTCTCTCAAAATAAATAAACTTAAAAAAAAAAAAGTCTCCAGAGCAAATTAGTTCAGAGAAATCCCCCTCCCCCAAGCCTTTGTGCAGTCTCTTTATAAAAGAAATATGCGCTCTTGATAGCAAAACAACTCTCCCGAAACAGGGAAAGTAAGTTCTAGAGGTTTCATCCCACCACTAGAAATAGAAATGCAACTTTGCCTGCTTGGTGTAGGTCAGTTCAGCCAACACTGATGGTTTGCCTTTTGTGACTTGGTAGTGTAGGTTGCCCAGCACCTAGTTACAAAACGTATTCTGTAAAAAGAGTGCAGAGTGGAGCACCTGTGATTGTACCTGACTCTGTTGTGGGCTCTTTGTTCAGGGCTTACTGTTGAGCTGCTAATTTAAAATCTCCAGAGATCCAAGATCCAGTTTCATTGGACTGTCTTTCAATCCCATTATATTGGTAGATTCAAATAGTGTAAAAAGTGTGGTTCTCAATAAGATGGATACATGAACAAAATGTTTTACAATATAAAATACATAGTATATTGCTCTTTAAAAAAACAGTAAAATCTCATTAATCCAATGTAATTATGGGTACAGATATGAAATCTTGATTTATAAATATTTTGTTCTTATTAGCTCAAACTAGGGTAACACAGTTGATTATAGAAGGCCTGACAAGGTCTTGTTTTAGTAAATAATAATACGTAATTGGCTGAGGATGATTATTGTCATAGTAACAAATTAGAATTTGGATACTAAAATTAAACTTCTTCCCTGTATGGCAATCATTCTCTTGATCTGACCATTAGTGACAACTGTCTTTAGTTTGTGCACATATGAGAAGTATTATTTTTGTCAGTTAAATATATTTTACTACCTAACCCGATTGAGTACCTTGCAGTGTGTCTGTCTTGGGAATACAACTGATGTGATCAATAAGGATAATGGATTATTCTTGAACATGGACATACATTTAGGTTAGTATAGTGGCAGGTGCCTGCATTTCTCAGAAAGCTGTTTCCCAGTTGTTGTTAATGCATGCCCAAATAGATACACAGATACTTAGTAATACTGCTTAATTGCTGTAGTCAGATTGAGCAACACATAATTTATAGCAGTTCTGAAACCAGGAACACCAGAACGATATGCTCTGTGATACAGACTTAGGACAATTGCTGGTCAGTGAAGTACAGGCGATACAAGCCTGTCTTTTGTGATACATGTGATATAATTTTCTTGACACCTGTTTTCAAAGTGTACCTTTCCATGTCATCCTGGTTTCTTTAGTGAATTTACTTAGAAAGTATGTTTTACTTTTTATTTTTTGAAGGCAGTATTTTAGTTCCTAATTTTATATTTATCGTAAGAATTTTACTGGTTGGCCACTATATGCCAGGTCCTTTCATTTATTATTCTTCCGGTGTCCCAGTAAGTTAGGGACTCCTTGTCCATTTTAGAAATTACAAAATGGAGATTCTGAAAGGTTTGGCGACTGTACCTCTGTTAGACCCTACATTGTGATAAATGTGGTTACCTCGCTGAATGAGTTGCCTAGTACTTGGCTATAGATAACGTATCAAAAGTTAAAGGTGGTGGATCCTTAGGAAGAAAGGGAGGGGAATTGAGACTAGAATAATGAATATTTGAGAATAATTTTAGCAAAAGTTTGCTATAAGTAGAACATCACTTTTTTGGGCAGATCTGTTCCAGAGCCACTGAATGTATCTGTCCTATTGGATTTGTTGAAAATGCAAATAATCCAATCAAGTATGATACTCATTAAGGGAAAGGAATACAATCTGATAGTTTTTATGAAGACATGTACTGCCTAATCTCTGAGTTGAAAGCATCTTATAAAAATTTGCTTCCCTTCATATTCCTAGGTGGTATTGAATATGTGTGTAGAAAAAAAATGAGAGCATTTCAAATAATGCTAATGAAGTTTAAATGATTGCAATCTACCATATTGTGAGGAAAAGTTGTTAGCTGTGAAAGATGAAGACTGAATTAAAATATTACCATGACTGGCATTTGATTTGAAAACTGCAAAGATAAGCTTAGGTTCCTATTTATGAAAGCCATCTTCACAGCCTGATGAAATATCTTTTAAAAGGTTTTATAGTTACCATGGATACTTGTTAGCTTTGATAGAGTAAGTTGTAATTCATATTCAATCATCTGAGGTGAAGTAGCCAAAAAACCCACCAACCAAAATCTAAAGTGGCTTCCTCTGTATACTCATACTAGTTTAGAGATGGAAAGGGTAAATAAATAACCTGAGATTAGCGTTTGGGTTAGTTATCACTGCTTGAAAAGCAAAATATTTAGGATGCGCATTACCTGAATCTGATCCTAATGTTTACCTTTTATGGGTAACTTTTACTTTTAACTAGTAAAGGGAACTTCTTAGGTTTTGACAGGGGAATTTAGATGGTGAGACCCTTCTGAAAGCTGATGAACCCAAGCAGCATACGCAATTTCTGAAAGCCATAGGGACACAGAAATATTGAAGGCATTGGTCCCTATGGTAACATATTTGCATTTGGCCCAGAAGTGGCTGGTTTCTGCTTAGCCTCTTTTAATTGCTATATATTGACAGCCGTTTCCACAACTATTTATAAAATGTTGGATTAATGAGCATGTGTGTACAAGGGAGTGCACACCACATCCTTAGGCTTGATTAGACACTTGAGATGACAAAAAGCTCTGCGTGAAGAGTTACCGAGGTGTTTTTGGCATTCCCTAATGTGTCTGTCACATAGTGGAAGCAAAAAGCCTTTTAAATGATTTAAATATTTTCCTCAATTCTCTTTTAAAACAGGTGACAAAAGAGCTAAAACAGTATGACAACAAAATTATAGAATGCAAATTCGAGAATAACAGCTGGGTCTTCATGAGACAGAGAACAGACAAAAGTTTTCCTAATGCCTACAACACTGCCATGGGTGAGTATGACAATCTACCAGTGTTTGTTATGTTAAAAAAGAGAGAGGGAGAGAGAGCGTTAAGGTTTTGGAGTCAAAATGTGCTGTCTTTATTGATCTGTTTGATGGGGCGAACCCACAGGGTCATTCGGACCCTACCCTTGTGGCTGGGAAAGGGGTTGTGACTTTACTGGCTCCAGTGGGCTTGTAGGTTGTCCCGAGGCCTGTGGGCTCACGCCCTGCGCCCAGAAGAGAAGTGTAAAGGGCAGGATAATGGGCTGTATACAAGTTGAATTTGTTGAACAACAACAACAACAAAAGCCACGATAATTTCAGATCTATTCAAAACTATAAAAACCATTGTTTGCCAGATGGTAAAAGACAAAATTAGCAGGGGAAAATGTAATTTCCAGCTCCTAAAATAGCTTTACAAACAATGGAGAACAAAGTAAATGAAAACCATTAAAAAACAAAACAAAACAAAACAAAAACCTCCTAAAACCTGCTCTGCTATCCTTCATAGTGTTCTTTGGGTACAACTTGAATGCTTTGCGAATTCAGAATAGTAAGTTTCTTTCACGGCGAACATCACAAAGTAATGAAGTTTACAAGCTAAACTAGTAGCAGTAGTTGCTCTGGACCGCGTTTTTAGTGAATTTGAAAAACATACATAAAAACCAAGATTGAAGGTTAATAGCATTGTGTGCTGTTAGACTGCTCAGTCAGTGATGTTGCTGATTATATGATAAGCTTATGAGAAAATACAGAAATTGCCAGTTTCAGTTTTGCAGTTTATGAAAAGTTACTATTGTACATTTAAAGGTTTTGTTGGAACTAGCATCTGTGTTCAGACAAGATGAGTTAATTTTGAAAATGGGAAAAATTAAGCCAGTGTCTTTTTTTCCAGAGCTAAATATGTAAATAGGATTTAAAGGACTGGTAGTAAATTTTGACCACATAAGAAGGGATGCCTCGTTTATTCGTAATGTTGTTGTAATACCTTACTTCCTCAAACAAGTTGTTAAAACAACAGAGTATGTATGATCTGCCAGCTACAGCGGAGCCTCCCTGTTCAGTGGAAATGGTGGCCGGTGCCATCGTGACAGGGAGGAGCTCTTTCTCAGAGAAGAGACTACACGTTTTCCGTAGAAGTTTGGTTGAATATAGACTAGAGTGTGATGCGCTGTGTGCTCCGTTCAAAACCTGAAGACAGTTTTGGAGCGATGGACAGCCACAGTGAAGGCATGCTTATCATTCAGATACTTAACGTTTTGTTTTAAAATGAACAGTTCAAGAAAGAGTGGGCACCAGAAAAGCACCCATTTTAGGGGGCGGGGGAGGGAGGAGAATAGTTTAATGTGTGAAGCGAGTCACCCAAATCCGTAAAATGCAAGTGTTTAGCATATTAGGATGCAAACCTTTCCCCTTTGGCATCCCCCTGTGGTGAGTCAGCTGCCTTAATTAACCCTCGCGTGAGACACGTGTCTCCCTTTGTCCACAGCTGTGTGCAACAGCATCTCCAACCCTGTCACCAAGGAGATGCTGTTTGAGTTCATCGACAGATGTGCGGCGGCTTCTCAAGGACAGAAGCGGAAGCATCATCTGGACCCTGACACAGAGCTCATGCCTCCACCGCCCCCCAAAAGACCTCGCCCTTTGACCTAAGACCCGCCTCTGACTTGAGGATTGAGAGGAAAAAAGAGTGAGAAAGAATGCTGTTGCCCCATTTTTGCAGCCAGAGAAATTCAAAAGTGAATGTGGCCTGATGCTGATACGCATTTGAATTTTTTGTAAAAAAAGAAAGAAAGAAAGAAAAGAAAGAAAGGTATTGTAGCCGGCCTGTAAATATTTGATGCATTTGTTTCCTCAGTGCTACGATACATCATGGACTTCACACAGTTTATTTATATCTGATAAACTCAGCCTTACCTTGTGGAATCTGAAGATTGAAATATCCAAAGGTTTAATTGAGATTGAAATCAATGCAAAAGAGGCCTTGTTTGTATATGGATAACTTTGACCTTTAATTTATAAAGTTAGTAATCTGGAACTGTGAGCATATAAAACACTGTATTTTTTAGAAGTTGTATTTCAACTATGGTAAATTCTCCTTTTGAAAAATCTAGGCAATGGCATTAAACATTCTTGCTGTCGTTTATCATGGATTTCCTACATTTCTGAGATTCTTGTGTTCAAAAACAAATGACAAGGTTGTCAAGTATTATATATTATATTATGTTAAACAACTCAGTCTGGCTTATCTCATTTTAAGAAGTTTTTTTAGAAATGTAAAAGTAAAAAAGTAAAGCCCCGTTTTTGTGAATTGCATCCTGTCTAAAGGAAGTATATTGAGTATTTTCATCTGTTTCTATTCTTTGAACTAAAATATCAGATATCCAATGTGTCCATTCTGGCAGTGGTTTTCAGTTACTTCATAGAACTTAGATATATACCACCAGGTTCCTTTTATGTGTTGTTCTCCTGGGAGACCCTTTTACTTCCTTCCTTCCTTCCTTCCTTCCTCCCTCCCTCCCTCCCTCCCTCCCTCCCTCCCTCCCTCCCTTTTTTGTTTTTTAATGTCAGGGCTACTTCTGCTTTACCTCAGTGGTATCAGCACATTGTAAATTACATTAAAACACACAACTCACTGTGATGATGGGAATGATATCAAATACAGACGATGTTGTGTTAGTTCCCTCGAACAAAGCGGCAAAGGAAATGCCAGCTGACTCCTTTGATTAGAAGGTGATGTCAATGGAATAGAATGCTGTCACTAGAAAATGCTCTCCCACTGCTAGATAAATGCAGAGGCAAAGAGTAGACTAATCTGTAGAAACTAAACATCAAGGAAGCCAAGACATTTATTTTCAAAGCCAGAATTCTATCTGTGTTCTGTTCTCAGGATGCTATTTCTGTTGTACACCTGAATTTTAAAACATTTACTTGTAGGTAATGGATTTAAAGAGCAGCTAATTGGTCATCTGCCATTGTTGAGAAGCCGTGTTCTGATTGGTTTGTGAAGGAACTCTCAGAATTTGCCTATTAGAGGCGAATATATTTATTTTTAGAGGTACAGGTTTTAAGTATATGTGTATTTAAAACAAATTTTCATGATCTGAATTTTATATATGATATGCATATATATGTAAGTATACGCAGCAGTGTATATTCTTCTACTAATACAATCAGACATGAAAAATCCAAATGAGTTACCCAGCTGACTGAATATCTGACAGGATTTCTATTTGATATAGCACAGATTAACCAAAAATGTATTTATATTCAGCTGAGTTTTAATGTTTTTAAACAAAGTTTTCTCCTGTAGTGCTTTTCTATATGAAATACTAGGAGTCATGCTTGGGCTTTTTCCTTTATTCTTTCCAAGTTATGTAACATGTAGTGAATTTATCTAGAATGTCATTTTAGTATTTCATTCCTAGAGTGCTTTTGTGAGTTTGGGCACTAAAGAGATTAAAACACCTGACTGCCACAATGATTGTTGAAAGGTGGAAATTTGTAAGGTTCCATAGTGTCTTGTACAAAGTGGATCTGAAAAAATACCTATGCAACTCCAAACAGTCCGATGCCTGCTTCACCAGGGTCAGTGACTTTTCACACGCTATGTTGCTTTCTCCTGAGCCTGTATAAGTGCAGAGCCCTTTTGCAGATATAAGAGCTAGCTTTTGCCAGTGATCTTTAATGGAGTTAAAATGTTTATGGTAATTGTAACCTTTTAAATGAGTTATGTGAAAAGAGCATCTCATTTTTAATACACCCAGATACTTTTTCCTTGCCTTTGTGCATTTTCTAAAACTTAATTTTCTTAATTTGTCCTTTCCTTTCGATTACAGTGAAGTATAATAGCCGGCCTAATAAGTAGATCCCATTTAGCCCCCGAACACACTGTCGTCTGCAGTATCATCAGAAGTCATCTAGAAAGTCAAGGGGGAGAATTGAGAGGCAGGAATTGGGACATCAGGAAGGAAAGAAACCCTTCCCTTCTCAGGCCACTTCACAGCAACTCTTTTCTGACACTGAAGTTTTGTAGACAAGAATAAGAAAACTTTGCTTTCTTGAGTTATCACATATAAAAGCTTTTGCTTTGTATTTGGAAAAGATGCGGATGACTCGACTGCCTGGATGGTTACATTTGCTTTCCATGAAATGCTCAGAAAACGTCAGGACATTCCTTCTCTAATTGTGTGTCAGTGCGTATTGTAATAAAACCACTGAGTTAAAATAACAGTTTGGCTGGTGATGCCTTTGTGTCCCTCTATGTACCTAATGATTTTGTGTCCCTTTTATTGCTGGTGTTATCCTGCCTCTGTCAGCCATACCCGTTGTAATCCATCTGGTTTTGTTGCATTCTAGAATTAGCATAAAGACTTGGAAAATCCTCTATTCTTCTTCCTGAGAAACCAAGAAATTGGATTGACGTGGGGGATGTAGCTTGCGCCTTTTCTTTTTGGAGGGTAGGGGAGCAGGGGAGAGCACATCTTTAAGTGATATTTATAGTACTTCTGTCCGTGTACCTCATCCTAGCACTCTATTATATGGGTGGATATCCTGTCACGTTATTTTGAACACATTTAATTCTTTCAGAATACTCAGCAGTAAATATTCTGAAATGATGAAGTAATGACCTGTCCATTTTTTTGTCGACTCTGTATTTTTGTACCATGGAATTTGCCATTTAAAATTTGTAAATGATGCGGTTTTGAATTATGTGTATAATCGTTTCCAGTCAAAAAACCTTGAAAGTCAACCAAATACTCGACTCGCAGGCAGGGAAAACTAATGTGGTGGGGAAAAAAACCCTGGGCTAACCCCAGAGACCAAGTCTAGGCTCTGCCTCTCACCGGCTCTGTGTTCTCTCTAGGTCTCACCCTGTACCCCCTCCCCCCATCTATAAGAGGCCGAGATTGAGCCAGATGATCAAAAAGGGCCTTTTCAGGTCTGACATGATTCTTGTAAAAGCTCATGGATTTTAAATAGCCCATATTCACAATGAAGGGAGTATTACCACTACCGAATATCCACCAAGCACCAAGACCGTCCCCAAAACAACTCCTCTGTGCAGGTAGGGACCATTATTAACCTCATTTTGTAGTTGAGGAACCTGAGACTTAGATAGCTAACCCTTGGTTACATAGCTAGTAAGTTGTGAGCTGAGACCCCAACAAAGGCCTTTCTGACTCCAGCTCCTGATTTATTGCTCGGTACTCCTCACAGCTTTGTTGCAGTCCCGGCTTGGGGGCTGCTTCTGTGCCAGGGGCCCCAAACTCTGTTTCTTTGGTGCCAACAGGAAATGGGTTTCAAGCATCTCTCTCCAAACCAAGGAGATGAACTTGGGATCGGCAAAGTAAACATATTTTTAGGGCCTTATTATTTAACCACTTATTTGGCAATATTTAAATGTGAGTGACACAGAGGCCATGAAAACAAGTTTAATATTCTCATTAAGATGCTAAATTCCGAAGACATAACTAGGAAGAAATAAGCGATTAAATTACACACTGGGCCAAAATTTTCCTGATTGTCGCATAGTTGACTGTCAATTCTGATGCTTTGGCAGGTTGGTGTCAGCCTCGGTTAACCCAGAAGTGTCCCTCCTCTCACTGGACTCTGGTATCGGGTGGCCACTGTGCATGATAAACAGGTGGGGGTGGAGGGCGCTCAGAGCAGGGGCCCCCCAGGCTTCTAAGCAGAAGACTTCACATTTCAAAAAAGGAGCGCATGGATCTGGGGTTGCCAACTATTTTAACTTGCAACGGCTTTACGAAATAATATGTTGCCATTACTGCATACAATAAAGGGAATCTTAACACCCAAAAAGGAAGTAGGACATAACTTAGAAGAAAGGACATGTCTTTATATAGAACAAATTTTGTTTTGTGAAAGATTCTCTACACTATCCCTTGCTTCTACATTTCACCACAAACTGGTAAAATCATTGTCATGGACCGGTGCTGGGAATCCTTGCATAGGTGGAATTCCAGGCAGCTTGTATGTAAGTGGGGAGGCAGGCAAGAAGCCCCTAAGGGAAGAAGCGGCCCCTGGTTCCATAGCTAGAGGTCATTTTCATAGCCAGAGCTGATCAGAGTATAATTACCTCACAACTGTTGATTATATTGTGCCCTTGAGATGTAAAGCGTACAGGCGAAAAATGAGTTGTCTGAACATTGACAGATACTCCAAAAGGATGACACCCTCAGCTGTTTAAGGTACAAAAATAAACATGTCACATACAACACAGAAAAACAGAATTTGGCTTTGACAACGAACCCGAACAACAGAGTCGCCAATGGTCACAACTTTGAGGTGGGCACGTAGTCAGTCTGTTTTTCCTTTAGATCACTGCCACCAAGAATGACCTTTCATGACTGCAGACCCGCTCCTGCTCCCCGGTGAGAGCTCCCTGGCACATGACATCAAAGGGCCTCCATGATCCGGCCTCAGCCTGCATCCAGATTTGGATCATGCCTGCCCCTTGATACAGCTGTATGCCTCGCTGTTCCCACAACGCCGTGTCCTCTAAACCCAGGAACCTTTGGGGCGCCTGGGTGGCTCAGTCGGTTAAGCAGCCGACTTC